ATTCAAATGAATTCTTTTTAATGGCTGAGTAATATTCCATGGTGTATATGTACCACAGCTTCCTCATCCATTCGTCTGCTGATGGGCATCTGGGTTGCTTCCATGTCCTGGCTATTATAAACAGTGCTGCGATGAACATTGGGGTGCATGTGGCTCTTTCAGATCTGGTTTCCTTGGTGTGTATGCAAGATAGAGTTTTAAAGCATCTTCTATCAGGACTGTGATAGCTGCAAGATTTCAAAAGCAGAGAAAGATCTCTTCCCAATAAGGGAGTAGGACACTCAGTGACCACCAGAAACTGGTGGGAAAATTTTGTCCATCCAAGCAACAAAGAAGTGCTCAGGTGAATCTTTCTGTAATTGTTTTTCCTGTAGCACCCAAAGTGGTACAAGTTTGGGAGGAGGAGGCTCCGGAGTAGGAGGTAAGGACAGAGTAGGTAGCCCTTGTGTCAACCAAGAAATTCTTGGACCTGTCTGCCACATCTTGCTGCACCCTTGGCTCCAGCCCCATGATGATTATTTGTGACAAGTGGGCTGGCTGGAGTGGGCCACTTCAGTCCTGTCAAACAGTCATCGTGAGGGAAAGCTTGGCACTTAATCTTGAGGCTCTTGGGTCCCGAGGGCAGTGTACTGCCCAGTGTCCCAATTGATGGCATTTGTAGCAAGCCATTTTAGGAGACTTGCCGTGGTTTGGACACTGTTTGGCCCAAGGTCCCGCCTGTATACAGATTAGGCATTTACCTCATGCCTTGTCCTTCAAGGACTCGGGGTTTGCCATAGGGCTTCCCTGGAGGGCAGCCAGCATCTGGGCATGCCTTGTCTCTTTCCTTTTCTCCCTTTCCTGGGCCTTGGCCTCCCTCTCCTGTTCTGTTATAAAATATATTGGTGACTGTCTGGACCATCTCATCTAAAGAGGCAGCAGGGTCCTACTTCTCTAGCTGTTGTAACTTCATCCTGACGTCTGATGCACCTTGGGAAAGGAATTTGTCCTTTAAAATCACCTGTCCCTCATAAGAGTCTAAGTCCAGATTGGCAAACTTTTAGAGGGCCTCTCTTAGACTTTCCAGAGAGGCAATGATGTTCTTGTTGGACTCCTGAGTTATTTCTGAGACCAGGCAGATTCCCACAACTAATAGGCTTCCTTCTATTTCCATGGGTGGACTTCCTTAGGGGTGAGTTTTTCTGAAGCTTATCGTACCCAGTACTGTTGCAACCTGAGAGCCAGGCATCCCCGGGTCAGGTGCAGAGCCCC